AACTTGTCTGTTCCCCTTCCCCCAATTCCCCAGCACTGTTCCCATCCCCCCAATTCCCCAATAAAAATCTTTAAAAAAAAAAAAAAAAAAAAAGAAAGAAAGAAAAACAAAAAACCCGTCCTTATTCTCCCAAGAAGCTCTAGTGGGGAAGACAGATAACACAGTTGAAATCAAGTAATGCATTCCATAGAATAAAGTCTGTGAAATTGGTGGGAAGTATTACAAAAGTACAGAGGGAGGACTGTAACATCTCCCCAGTGACCCTCAGATTCCTCATCAACCACATTTCATCACTGGTTATGCAAAGGCAGTGTTTCCTCTTGTACATGTCTCCACGCATGCATGTTTCAAGGAATCACCATCCGGATACTTCTGATGGAGAACAGTGAGCTCCCCAAACTGCAAGTACGTTCTATACCGACTACAAAGCATTGATGAGTGCCTACGGATGAATACATTAATCCAATAAGCCAGGGTTTGTGGCTCAATCTTACTTCCGTGAATTGGGAGTAGAAGAAAGTCTGGCCATAGAAGGAAAGCTCCTGGGGTCTGAAGACCAGATCTGCCATTCGCAGGCAAGCTGGTTCACTCAGACCAGGTGGTCACAGGATTCTCATCTGTAAAAGGATGTCTGAGAGGTCCCCTCCAGCCCCCTGACTTTTTAATATCTAATCATAAATGGATTGGTCAGTCCAGCCTGATTACCATTATCATTTAGGAAATTTTCTTTTCTTTTTTTTTATTATTATTAGTTTCAGGTGTACAAAACAATGCAATAGTTATCCTTTTCACCACTCACAAAGTGACAACCCTCCTCCCTCCTCGTTTAGGAACTTTTCAAACTTGTCAGTCTCTAAGACATATCATATAGGAGGAAACTCTGGTAACTGCTAAGCTTGACTTTATTAAAGGGGGTTAAAAAAATTGTGTGATGTTAGTGAGAATTTTTAACAATCAGTTTGTTCCTGTGCAATAAATATCAACAGTGAAATTTTAGAAATGACTTTTATTGGTGCCAAGCATCAACTGATCCAGAAACCTCTTGGCGACTGTCTGATCAACCAGGAAAGAACTTTGCTAAAAGATGTTATCTACCATACTCAGTTTTCTTCCTCTTCTTGAAAATGGTAATAATTTTTAGCATTATTCAAATCTTAAAGCACGTCAGTCTATATTTACTCAAAAAACCTATGCAAACACCCAAGAAATTCCTCTCTTCTCTGCCTGATCATTTTAGTGAATATGCAAAATAAACATTCATGTAATTTATCAACTTTTAAGGCACCTTTTGTGTCACATCCTAATGTTAAACATATTTTTCTTCTCAAATTTCTGATCTTTTTTTGTTTTGTTTTGTTTTGTTTTGTTTTGTTAAAGGTTTTTATTGGGGAATTGGGGGATGGGAACAGCGCTGGGGAATTGAAAGAAGGGGAACAGACAAGTTGCTGTCCCTTTGTTCTTCAGTCTAGTTGTGGAGGACGTTGCTTCACTGGCCCAAGTTGGCACCAACATTGCACTCTTCCCAGGTGAGGCAGATCAGTCACAGGCTTCTGGATGGCTGCTCACTGCAGCTGCTGGCTACACATGGTAGCCCATGGCAACCCACTGCAGCAGGGGCTGCAGCCTATGCCGTCGCCAGCGACTCACGGCAGCCCAGCTCCAGGTCAAGCTATTGTTCAGCATCTTAGCTGTAGAGGGCAGTGTCACTGGCCCTCATGTGTGGGATCCGAACCAGAGCCCTCGGGCGTCCCAACCCAGCTCTTAACCAACACGCCACTCAGCCAGCCCTTTTTTGTTTTTTTTGTTTTAATTTTTATTGGGTAACTGTGTTTTTTCCAGGACCCATCAGCTCTAAGTCAAGCCGTTGTCCTTCAATCTCACTGGGAGCAGCTCACTGGCCCATGTGGGAATCAAACTGGCAACCTTGTTGTTCAGAGCACGCGCTCTAACGAACTGAGCCACCCCGACACCCCTCAAATTGCTAATCTTGACATTGCTGAAAGCCCTTGATGATTTCAGGACAGTCTGTGGCTCCAAATGGAACCTGTAGACAGAACAATTCCTTGAGCTTTCTAACATGCTTGATTGAAGTGTAACATATTCTCCTAGCTACCTTCAACTCCAGAGTACAAAGAATCACATTCCAGATGGGGCTAAAGATCTGTTAGGAAAAATGACTTGGGCCAGAGACTGTAAAAGGAGGGTTGCATGGCTTAGTTCTGCACATATAAACTTTATGGATTTCGAGCTGAAAGAGAGCTCATAGACGACATCAGCAAGTACAGCTTCCAGGAAAGAAGGACTACAAGAGCTAAGCCTGGGTGTGTTAGCTCAGCTCAGGCAAGGGAAGAAAGTAAAACTATTGCAACGTTTTATTTCTTGTAAAATAAGTGCAATGCTATGGCTCAGCAGGCTACATGGAAATGTGTGTGCAGTATGCACTGAAATGCACGGCTGATTTCCCTAGGGGGGGAAAAAAATGGGAGAGAAAGAGAAGACTCCACACTCCTAAAAACTCCCCGGTCTGTCTTGGAGGCAACTACAGAGTAATAATTAACAAATCATGGGAAATACTTTGAGAAGCTAATATACAATGCCACTCAGTAGAGTGAAAGTGGACATTCTCTCGCCTGACCATTTTACAGCAAAGCCCAGAAGAGGAAGCCAGAAACTAATTCTGAAAAACCAAAGCTTAAGACTAGTGGCATGAAAATCCGATGATCTTTTTAACTTCATTTTTTGCTTCTCTGAACTTGAGCGGAACTAACTCAGTCCCCCAAATGTCTTCTTCAATGAGAGAACAATCCTTTCTGGAGCCACAGGGCTGCAGATGTCACGCTGGAATTCTCCCACAGGCAAACTGCCAAGTTTGGGGTTGCTTTTCTTCGGTCACTACACCGGGTTGCTGGGTTGTGCGGGTGCTAACTGTCCTTCGCACCTATGAACAGACACCTGCATTTGCACCACCTTTATAGTCTGCGACCCACGGTAAGGGGCTTGTAGGGTAGGAAGGCCAGGTATTGGGGTAAAAGACGAAACCTCAGCTGGGCAAGGTCCCTACTTATCCTCACGCGCCGACTGGGCTGCAGATTGCAAGGCCCGGCCCCACGTGGGCAAAGCGCAGGGGAAAGGCCCTCCACTGTCCGACAGGAGCCCCGAGCCGGTACTTATTAGACTTTGGTAAACGCTGCCTCTCCACCGACAACAGAGTATCACCAAGTGGAAAGGAAAATCCCTCTCCTGCACCTCAAGAACTCCTTCCAACGCTCCCCATCTTTCTTCTCCCCAGACCTGCTGCCCACTCAGGCTAGACCGCCGGATCGCCGGCCTAAGGGTTCTGGGGGCCACGGGGCTAAGGAACCGGGGGGCCTGGCTGCCCTCGGCACCTGGAGCCGCCAACGGCCGAGGGGCAGCGTGGCGGCTGCGCGGCACGGTTGAATCAAGGGGTGAATCACTCCTTTCAGGGTCTCGGTTTCCTACCGACAGGAGGCGGGGCAGGGGTGTGGATTCACCGGGGCCGCCCACCGCGACTGCTCAGACCCGGCCGGGGCGGGGAGTCGGGAGAAGAGACGGGGCGGGCGCTGGAGACTGCGGAGGCGCGGGCGTCTGCTTGGCCCTTTATAGCGCGCCCCGCACTAGCTCCCCCAGACTCGGGCTCCCCACACTCCTTCAAGCTCCCTCCGGCCGCCCCAGGGCGCCTGCAGCCAAACCACTCCAGCCTCCGAAATCGCGGAATCCTCCTGACCTGGCCGCCAGCTCAGGGACATGACGACCCCTACCGGCCCTCCGGTGCCCTGCCCCGAGACTGCTGTCGCACGGACGCTTCTCCTCGGCTGGGTCCTTGTCCAAGTGGCTGGAGCCTCAGGTGAGTGGCACCCGCCCCCTGAATACCTGTGGTGCCCTGCCGGGAGGATGGGGGACAGTCTTGGCTGGCAGCGGGCTCGTCCTGCTGCCCGGAGGTACCCCCCGCGCCCGCCGGACTCAGCCGCGCTCACCTACCTGTGTTTGAATGAACCCCGGCTAGGGACGCACAGGTGGGAGTTGGAGGGTAGGTGGCTCGCGCCCAGGACCCGGCCTGCTCCTTCTGCTAGAGATGCTTGATAGGGGAGTCCGTTGTTGTTGCATAAGTGGATTTGTGGCTCCAACGTTAAATTTAGGAAAAGAGCTTCCCAGTGACCTTTAAGGTGCAGGGTGGGACTTGGGGGTCCGCACTTGCAAGGTTCTGCGTGTAATGGTTTAGATATTATCCTTAATTAAATGTGCACTTTAGTTAATAATGAGCGGCCCGCGGTCTTGTCTTGATAGTCTTTGTTTTCAATTCGGTTAGAGGCAATCCTGTCGCAAACTGTCTCTGGATTCGAGCAGTCTCCACCACATCCTGCATGCCCCATATGCCTGTTCTGTGTGCGGGGCAGGCCCGAGACTTGCCTGAGTATTGGCAAAACAGACCTTAATAATGAAGCATCCTAACTGACAGTATGACTGGCCGCACTTCTGCCTGGGTGTCTGTGGAAGTTTCGGTATAGAGACATTTTAGATAAAAATGAAAGAAGTCAAAATTTGGCTTTTTCATTGTATGCAGCCCTAACTCTTCTCACACATGTGGAATTTGCCCTTTTCCATAACTATGGACGACCCTTCCTATCAGGCCTTCCCTGCCAGAGTTCAACCTTAGAGTCCTACACTACTTCCCCAGCTCAGCCCTGGACACCCTGGGGCACTGATGGCTCCTGGGCAGTGCTTCCAGGTCAGGTTGTCACAGTACTTCCCCCCACCCCCCACCCCATCCCCGAATAATTTCAAACAAGGATTTCAAACTCCTTGCCTGTTTCCTTAGATTACAAGGATGATTTTGCCATGAGGAAATTCTGAGTTTAGGAAAAACTAGAAGTTTTTTTTCTCTGATAACTCAGTAGTGAAGCTTTTGTGGTTGGAAAAAACTAATGTGAGGTTTATGGTGATGTTGGGGAGGGGGTGGGAAAATTTTTTATACCATAAACATGAAATCATGTGCTGAGAAGTTCTTGTAATAATAGCTGTTTCTCTGTTGTTTAAAGGCACTACAGGTGTCGTGGTAGCATATAATTTAACTTGGAAATCAATTAATTTCAAGACAATTTTGGAGTGGGAACCCAAACCCATCAATCATGTCTACACTGTTCAGATAAGGTAAGCTAGATACAAAAACAGACAAATATGGTTTTTGATGTTTCCACTTTCCTGTGCTGAATACAAAAGTCCTTAGAGTTGATTGACGGATGAAATTAAATTATTTAATAGATGACAAAGAAGAGGGCATTCATGGTAATTTGCTGTCCAAAGCCATACTCCATCAAGCCTGCAACATTTCCAGACCTTAAACCGATAGAACGTTTTATTTGTTTTGGGAAATGATGGGGATAGTCCTAAGTGGAGCATGAGCTGTGGATCTCAGGCCATGGCGGCACTGATAGACTTGGTCCTGGGTCAGTGATAACTGATCTGATCGAAGCACACACCCATCTTTTTCTGTGCTGTCTAGACTGTGAGTCTGCTCTAACGTGTTAGGGAGGAGGTGGGGGGGTGCTCAGATGTATATATTGCCCCGAAGCAGTGTTTGATGCATTCATCTTTGGACTCATGATTCAAAATTTGGTTGCATACATGATATCGGAGGAGGCCAAGTTCATGACTCACGAAGACAGGAAGAAATACTACTTCTCCCTGTCTGCACCTTCAGTTTTCAGGGCTGCTCTGCTCATTGACCCTTGTCTCTGATTGACAGCTCTCTCCAAGAGCCTGTAATTCAGCCTAAATATCCATACGTCTTCCTTGATGGTTTTCACCATACTCTTGCAAGTTTCTAGTTTCTGAAATGGTCTGGGAGGCTTGGTAGGGATCTTATGAAATAGAGGAGAACCCCTGTGGAAATTATTTTAACACTGCTTGTATAAAGGCACAAAGGTATCACCGGCTTAAATTGAAGGTGTTTTGCTGTTTTGTTTGGTTTAGCTTATTTCAAGCCTTTTATAGCATTAGGAATGCAACTCCTAAGTATGGAGGGGGTCTTTTAGGTGGATGTTCTTGTTTTTCAAAACGAAATTCATGACAACTGTTGCCAAAGCAACGGGGAAGAGCATTTGTGTATGTGCGTGCATGCTGTATAGATAGATGGAGAGAGAGAAAGGAATTTCATAACCTGAGGTAATAATTATAATTATAGTCAAACTTGTCAATTCAAATTCTACTAGCCAAGAATTAAGTAATTCCATTGATACAGAGCTGAAGTTTTCCTTAGGAGACACTTTCCGTCTGGTTAGTGACAATAAGATTTTAGCAGGAATGCTTATCTCCTAAATATATTCAGTCTTATGTTTGGTGAACATGTGGAAACATATTTACGATTTACCTGATTTTTTAAACATAAGCCTTCGTTAACTCTCAGTTCTTGGACTTTCCAAGGCTGCTGTTACTTAATGAACGCGGCACCGGATGTGCAAACATCCTAAGTGCAGAGCTGCCGCTTGGAGGCGCCCGTGGACACGGAGGTTCCTGCCTTGCCGGCGATCTCCCTATGCCCTTGCTCTTGCGCGAGAGTAGAGAACCTGTGAGCAGTCTCTCCCCACTGCTGGAGACCTTACTCTGCTCCGTCCTTCTCATGGGTAAACGGGATTCATGGGTGAAAAAGACCAGAGCATTTATTTTATGGAAGAGGAAATTGATGGCCTGGTAAGGTGAGGGACTTCTTTATGACTACATTGATGGTGGGTGCCATCAGCTGAGTCTGGAACCAAGGGCTCTCCAGCGGTCCACCACCACCACCTCGTCTGGTGGGTCTGCCACAGTCTGATGTGAGGCCCCACAGCTCGAAGGAGGAAGGAAACCGTTCCCATGGCAACTCTTCAATGGACCCCCTTCCCTCCCAGGTTTCCTTTCCTAGAAGAAGCATTTGAACCTGCTGCTCCCCTTCACCCAGTACCGGCCTGCCCCCAGCCAAGGGGCACCACTGCTATGCCTGCAGCTTCTACTTGGAGTTCCAGCTGTATTTTTCCCCTTTGGAAACAGTTTCGGTGATGGTTGCAAAGTGTTATTGGCTCAAACGCTGAAACATTACCTGTAGCCTTGTTTCCATGGGCATATTCTGAAATTCTAAAATTGAACTTCCAAAGCTCCTAGAAAACAACCTGCTCCTAAATTAGTCAACCTGGATTCTGTTGTGATTTTTTTAGTAATTCAGGCAGGACATTTGTTATTGCTAAATCAGGAGATCGGGCAATACCTAGAGGACCCTGGAAGGCTTCTACAGTGTTTATGCTGATAATAGCATCCAGATGAACTAAATACAGAATTGACCCTTCAGTACTTGTTCACACAACTTTAGTGACTTTACGAGTTTCGGTGATACAGGTGCTTGTGCTAAGTTTTGCTGTAGAGTGCTGTGACTCCTACGTATGAGCTGGGAGGAACCAAATTCCGATCTCCCAGATAGAGTGTAGCCACAGAGCTCAGCAGTCTTTTTCCTGCAACCTGAATGACTCGTTTGCCATAGCAGTGGAGGAGAATCATCCTGTTCTCAGTCACTTTTGTAAAATGCATTGTGGTCACTCTGGAATTAAGAGAGCCTCTCTACTTTTATTCACAAACTAAGAAATATTTTGGTTTCTGTGTCAATCTTAGTTCGTGAATTTTAGGACAAAGAATGTGTTCACCAATACCCCCTTAGCCTGGTTATTTAGTTCAGACTTTTAAAAATTACGTATTTATGGCTCTTATGTGTGGATTTAGACAACTGAATTCATACAGTGGCTTGTTTTCTCCCTGATTCAACCTGTAGATGCAAACCATCTAATACTCAGTAAGGCCTGGCTGTGTACAAGCTCTAAAACCCTGATGCTTAACAGCAAACCCAAGGGCATAGACCCCTGGTTCCAAGCAGACGGTGTTCCACATGAAGTAGTTCAATGGAGATATTAGCCCTGGGGGATGGGAAAGGGAGACATCAATTCTGAGCAAAGCGATCCGGAGATTCCTGGGGAAAGTGAGATTGAAGCATGGCCTTAAAGATGGACAGGGCTCTGGCGGTCGATGATGCTGAAAAGAAGGGAAGAGCAGTGTAGCTGTCAATTTATGGGGGACGGAAGTGTGTGGATCAAGTTGCAGTGGCATTTATCTATGAATTATTTTGGTCCTTTAAAATAATTTTGTATTTAACAGAAGTTCTTTAAATCATTTCCTCTTCAGCACATCTTACAAAAGAAAGATCTTTTTAGCCTCTTGGTCTTTTAGACTTTGTTAGATACTACTTGTGTTGTTATTCCTCAATCTTTGATGGGATGTGTTTATATCTTGTTAAAGGGAGAGAGGCATATAGTATAATGAGACGAATAGACCCAGCTCTCACCTCCTTAGCTGTGTGACCTTGTACAAGTTACTTAGCGTCTCTGAGCTTCAGTATCCTCATGTGTAAAAAAGATCCTTCTTGGAAGGATTATATCAAATGAAGTGACTTGTGGAAAGAGCCCAGTACAGTACCTGGCATATAGTGATTCAGTGAATGTTAAATAACCACACCAATAATGGTCATGATAGAATGTAATATATAGACTATATTATTATATAAACTCTGTTATTAGCTGTAATTCTACAGAGAATATAGAAAGTGATATAAACAGAATATAGTATGATATAATAAGTAGACTATAATAAATAATTGGGTCTTAATGGGAAAATTGTATACATTTTAAGAAAGATATTTAACAAAATGATTAAGAGCATGGACTCAGTAGTCTAACGGCTGTCTGGTTCAAAGTCACCCAGTCTCCCTTTGCCTCAATTGCCTTATCTATGAAAACAGATGATTACAGAGCCAGCCCACTTGCTGAGAGTATTCAAGTTCATCTAAAGTGCTCAGCATAGCAAATGGCTGCTCAGGAGTGGCTGTGGAGGCTGCTGTTGTAACACAGCACCACAGCTAGAAAGCCATCTGTCTTACTGTTTGCAAATCATAATGTTCCACTTTACTTCCTTCCTTCCTTTAGCCACAGATTAGGAAATTGGAAAAGCAAATGCTTTTCCATAACAGACACGGAGTGTGATGTCACCGATGAGATCGTGAAAGACGTGAAGCAGACCTACTCGGCGCGGGTCCTTTCCAAGCTGGCCAATGCCACCAGTTCTGCTGGGGAGCCCGTGTTTACAAACTCCCGCGAGTTCACCCCTTACTTAGAGAGTAAGTAGCTCGGTTGTTATAAGTAACTCTTATTGTAAGCTTCTGACTCTTCTTGTGAGCTTGTGACCCTTATGGGCCGTTAGATTTTTTTTTTAAGTGTTTTTCCATACACACACCTTCTTTCTCAGAAACTGGTAAGTGCCACAGCCCTCTTCAGTCATTCCAATGTGGGAGGAAGTTCACAGAGTGTGAGCTTTGGAGTTGATAACAATGTTATCAAGTAACTTTCTCCACCTGTCTGTCCCCAGACTGTACAAGTAACTGGCTGGATGGGACTGCCGGGGAATTTGAAATCCACCAATGCTGGGGTTTCAGCATTTCCCCATATATACTTCTGAGATTATATTTACACACACACACACACACACACACACACACACACACACACACACACACACACATCCTGAAAATTCTGTCCCATCATCAGACCAGAAGTCCCACTTTAAGGGTTTTCAGAGTCACAAATCCACAGGGAAAGCCCAGTTTCCCTCTGAGCCCATAATGGGGCTTGCTGACCTTTTTTAATCAGTCGGCCATGCTTTGAGTCTCGTGATGGGCTGCACTTGCCCAGCCAGCTCCCAGCCTGCCTCCTTCACACTGGTTTTCGGAGTGCTGAATGCTTTCCACCCCAGCCTTTGCCCCAGTAAGCTGACCTTCGCATCCACCAAGGGAATGCAGAGGATTCCTGCCAAGTTGGAGATTACATTTTTGTGTGGTGACTCTGGTTCTGAAGTAGGTATTTTAAATAAACACATGTAGCACATTGGGAAGAGTGAACTCTTTTAAGGGCTTTACATCTTCAAAGATCTTTTAAGAAGACTAGAAGGAAAGATTAGAATGAAGGTGTCATGTTATGGGTGCTGTTTTATTTACCCCTCTGACCTCCTGGGGGGAGAGAACAGTTTCTGGAGGCAGGAATAGTGAGAAGGGGCCAAGTGACAGTCAAGCAAAATTTCCCCTCTCGCACCTACTTTGAGGGTCGAAATAGGAGGCTGCCTTCCTGGAGCCCCTGTTTGCAGAGCCTGTCTTCAGACTCCTCTAGTGTTTCTTACCTGTGTGTCTCTCACGGCACTCAGCGGGAGTGTAGATGCCACGTCCACAGCCATCTCCAGTAACTCGAGGATCATGGATTGTCACTCTCCTTCCATTGATGGCATCCTCATGATTTTCTGTTCTAGTTGTTGACTTTTTTGTAAGCCACTTCAAATCCTTTTTTTGATGCAAGATAGATAATATTTTAATATTTATTTTGCATGTGCTCACACATACATGCACATACTCGCTTATAATTCATATTAAATTATTAGAATTGGTTTTACTGTCATTCAGCCAAAGCACATGAGATACTTGAGCCGTTCCAGAGTCCCAGTGGTTAAAACTGGGTCCTTGAGGTACCAAGGACATTTCCTGGACTTTCCCACAGCCCCTAATTTATTGTATCTAAAATATGGACTCTTATGCAACTGTGTTGTTTAATACAGCAGCCACTAACCACATGTGGCTATTGAGCACGCAAAAGATGGCTAATACTTTAAGAGTTAAATACACATGAATTTTGAGAAATATCTCTAAAAGGTTTTATATTGATTCCATGTTAAAGTGATACCATTTTAGCTATATTGGGTTAAATAAAATATATTATTAAAATTAATTACACATGTTCCTTTTTACATTTTCTAATGTGACTGCAAGGACATTTAAAATGCCATCTGTGGCTCCCTTGTATTTGCCTTGGGCAGCACTGTCACAGAATGTCTCTTAGCTCACTACTGTAGGGAGTTGATTCTATGCAGGTGTTTTCTGAGGGGTGACTAGGTAGTTATCACCTGTGGTAACTGAATGAGAGTCTATTTTGTAGAGAATTCTTTGGTCCCAACGAAGCTCATTTTCTATGTTTTAGCAAACCTTGGACAGCCAACAATTAAGAGTTTTGAACACATTGGGACAAAACTGAATGTTACCGTCCAGGATGCGCGTACGTTGGTCAGAATCAATGGCACATTCCTAAGCCTCCAGGATGTTTTTGGCAATGACTTAAGTTACACACTTTATTATTGGAAAGCTTCAAGTACAGGAAAGGTGAGGATTCTTCATTCGTTTTAATGACTTGTTTTAAATCATGGGTCCTTGATTTTACAGCTCACTTCTCCCCCAATCCAAAAATAGCAAAATGGGGTGGTTGAGAGGGCAGCATGGCGGAATGGGAGGGGTGCCCATTTTCCTGGTTCTACCTGTGATTTTGAGCAGCCTTGTGACTTTGGGCAGGGCCCCCTTGGATATCCAGTTCCTCAGCCAAGGGGCCAGACCAGATAACCTCTAAGGTTCTCCGCAGCTCCCACATTTCTTCCTCTACTGAGGATCACAGAGACAAAATTTGTTTTCCATTCAACAATCAATATATCATTCCTGTTTTCCTTTACTGTGAATATCTTCTAAAGGGGCTAAATTGGGTTGAATGTGCCTAAATTGGATATCTTCAATCTTGGGAAAAGCATCCTTCACAGTTATCATGGGGAACGGTTTGGCCACTTCTAATCCTGTATATGTCAGATGTGTTCGTGTAGTCTGTTACTTCCACAGTGACTTAGTAAATAGAATTCACCCTGCGACCAGATGAATTAAGAACTCCTTATCTTTGAACAGAAAACAGCCAAGTCAAACACAAATGAGTTTCTGATTGATGTGGATGAAGGAGAAAACTACTGTTTCAATGTTCAAGCAGTGATCCCATCACGAAGAATGAACCAGAAGAGTCCAGAGAGTCCCATTGAGTGCACTAGCCACAAGAAAGGAGTATTCAGAGGTGAGTGGCTTTCCTGGCAGGCATGGTGGGTACATAGCTGCCTGCCAGGGGACTAGTTCCAACGCCCCTCCCCTCAGAACCGGAATGCACTTTTGTTCAGAAAAACCACTGTCTTGGTTTTTCTTGTTTTTGTATGGTTTTGCTACTCTTACAATTTTAGGCATTTAGAAATGTTTCTGTGTTGTTAGCAAGTGTTTTTTTGACCACCTACCATGTGCTAAGCTCTCTGCTGAGCACTGGGCATGCAGCCTGTGTTTAGGATTTAGCATCCATCACAGGTTTCTCTGGGAATGTTTTCGTATTTAAATTCTGATCATGAGGTTTGGGGGGAGCTTCTGGACCAGCGGCAGCATCCCCCAATAGACATTTGTGAGTTCCCATGATGGGCTGTTGCCACAGAGGAGATAAAGTGTAACCCATGAAGGGAAGGGACTGTGTCTATCGCATACACCCATGTACGTCTCTGTCCATGCACATGCACACACTGGGCCCCAGCTGGAAGTGCTGCAGGTGTTCAGACACATACCTGAGGCTAAAAGCCTATGAGTCTCCCTCCAGGCTTTGTAGGGAAAGTGCTCTGGCTACTTTCAGGGATTAAAAGAGTCAGAGGCAAGTAATGATGACCTAGCTCCTTGCTAAGAGGAGATTCAAAAATTTAAAAACACTGTTAAGTAAATTCTCTCACATTTATTGATAGGGACAGAAGGAAAGGACTCACCTCTCTCTGGTCTTGCCATCATGTTCATGGCCCTCACATCCGTCTTCCTAAAGCCAGCTGCAGTTCCACTGCCTCTCTGTCTTCGTGCACACCCAATCGCTGCTTCCCCCCATCTTCTCTCTGCTGAAAAGTGTCCTTTGAAAACCACTGAAAATGCCACTTCCACCAGGAAGCCTTCTTATTGTCCTGGCCAGTGTCACCTCTCTTCACCCGAATCCTGGTAGCGCTCTCTATCTCTCTTTGCACTGATAGTTCATCTTCTGTAATTAATCATCGCCAACAAGTGGCCGTATTTTTAGCCACTTGTTTCTAACAGCTGTTCTTGTTTCCATCTACATGTGTCTTTTTAGACTGTGAGCATTATCCAGTTTACTTAATGGCTTATTTAATGCTTTTTTTTTTTGCCCTTGCCAATTGCCCTAAAACATCTAGGGTTTGACAGATTTTTTTCCTCATCAAAATGTGTGGTGGTGGAAAGAGTGGAGGAAAGACATTTCAAATTGCACAAAAGCAGGATGGTGTCATTTGGGGTTAAGCCCTCAGTGCTGCCCACTGATAAGTAGAAGTCAAGCGCTCTCTCTTGGTTGACTTGGCACCTTTTATTTTTCAGACTTGTTCTTCATCATCGGAGCAGTGGTGTTCGTGGTCATCATCATCGTCCTGTCTGTGTCTCTGTACGTGTGCAGGAAGCGCAGAACAAGGCGGAGCGGAAAGGAGAACACCCCCCTCAATATTTCATAAAGCACATGCCGTGGGAGCTGCCGACTGCTACCAAGTTTATATTGCACTGTGACGAGGAACTTTTAAGAGAATGGAATATATGGAAACACAAATGAGTATTTTGGAGCACGGAAACCCTTGGGCTCAAAGAAAGTTCTTTGTCTGACCTGTTCTCATGATTAGCACTGTGGTTTCGACATCAGTGTTTGTCACTGTGGAATGTAATGAATGGTACGACCAATTCCAAGTTTTTTAAATTTCTTTTTTAACACTATGGCACCTTTTGCACATATCATGCTTTAGACGGTATGTCCTACACTCAAGATGAAACTAAGTCATCTAAGAAAAAAAAAACATTAACAAATGCCTTAAAAAACGCTGGGTGGACTTGGAGACTTTTCAAGAGGCTGACTTCAAATCATGTGGGAGAATGAAATGGAAATTGGGTGGACTTTTCTAACATATGTCTGTCCTTTTGTAATACGGTGTTTAGGTTCTTCTTCTTTTTTTTTTTAAGAGTTCTTTTGGAGGTTTAAAACAATTGGCAAATTTTCATATGAATGTGTTAAATGCAGAAGACTTCTATTTTGGGCATGTTCCTAACATGCATCACTGTTTAGCACTTTAACTGACTTAAATGCTGTTGATTAAACACTTGACAGCTAACTATATTTTTATAAGACTACTATACAAACAAACTACATAGAGTTTATGACTTAAGGTACTTCAAGCTTATATGGTCAACATTGTATATATTTATATAATTTTTTAAAAGGTTTTATATGGGATTTTCTATTTATAGAGGTAATATTATTCTGTTTGTATATATTGAGATAATTTATTTAATATGCTTTTATATAAATAAAGGTGATTGGGAGTTGTGACTTTTGCATTTGTTATATCTTCCATTTATTATTTATGATTTGGTCTTTGGCTTCGCTACAGCAACACAGGACCCTAAAATTCTCAATCTTATGACAATTTTATACTATTTATTTCTCACTTACATTACAGTTTGGTGGCTGGGTTGACAGCAGCTCTTCCTAATGTCTTCTCATCCTAAGACCCAAACCAAAGGTGAAGCCCCTATTTGAATTAAGGTAGAGGGAAAAAGCAAAAAACTGGTAGAAATAGGAAGCCCCATCTACAAGCTTTAAGCTGCCTCTTAAAACTTCTGCTCCATACTGGCTCACCGTCACTCCTGCTCCCATGCCACTGGCCCAAGCAAGACACGTGACCACACCTGACAATACTGTGCCTACAGGGAGGCACCACAAGTCACTGGGATGTATAGTGTGACAGGGAAGGGAGAAATTATATAATCTACTGCAGATATAGAGGGAGAGATTTCTTCCCATGGGCATTAGTTTGAGTTGCAGATGAAGGTCGGAGAGGAGAAAGAAAGAAAAATTCTTTGGATTATTGTCTTAAAAGAAAATTGGATAAAAGAACAATATAAGCTAGGGAGAGAGAGTAGAGTAGCATCTCTAGAGTTAATTAAAAGCAAACTCGATCAAAAGCTTTGCAGGCAGGACTGGGTCTAGCTCATGTTTACTCCTTTAGGGAAGCCATGCCAATGGGCTCTTAGTCATGATGTAGCCCAGTTGACTTCATTACTTCCCTCTAGAATGTAGAAGCAGTGAATCCTCCATTCAAATACAAATAAAATGTAGTAGAACAATCTTGTTCTCTTAACTGTATTGAAAGAGGATTCTAACTACAGANCTGTTCCCATCCCCCCAATTCCCCAATAAAAATCTTTAAAAAAGAAGTCACTTTACACCTCTTCTTTGGCACATTCAAAGTGCCAGCATCACCACTCTTGTGCTTTGGGGCCATCTTTAAGTAAAATAAGAGCGGCTTGGACACAACCACTGCGATACCATGACAGGCGAGCTGATAATCGAGATGGCTACTAACTGACTAATGGGCAGTTAGCATCTACTGTCCAGCCTGGATACGCTGGACCAAGCAATGATTCGTGTCCAGGGTGAGATGGAGAAGCATGGAACAAGATTTCATCACAATACTTAGAATGACAGTTTAAAACTTGTGGATTGTTTATTTCTGGAATGTTCCAATTAATATTTTTGGACTGCAGTTGACAGTGGTAACTGAAGCCGAAGAAAGCAAAACAGGGGATAAGGGGGATATATTCATCAAAACGCAAACACTGATTGTGAATTTAAATTGACTGAACCAAAACTTCTGCGGCATTCTAGAATACGTTGCAGAGGTATTCTATAAATGCACCAGAAATGGCCCCTCTGTGTTAGCCTATGATGGCCCCCATGTTGTTTACTTCTGCACAGTAGGTTAGGGCCATCAGCCCAAAGCCTGCCAGTGCCAAATGTGAATCCTCACACGTCCAACTACTGTAAACGTAGTCCAAAAACCCCCCATATTTTTAGCCAATTAGAGCCTACCTTTCCAAACCCCACAAAACTAAATCAAACATCTGCTAAAGAAGACAACCCTACGGCCATAACAGATCCACGACTGCTGCTNCAGAGTGCTCAGTTCTTTGGTGGCTGCCCTGGCAGCATGAGAACCAAAAGGCTGCTGAGCAGAGGCCAGTCCATGTCCTGAAGCCACCTGCCCAGGCCTGCACCATTTGGCCCTCACTCGGTACTCCTCAGCCAGGAGTCCTCACGGCCCTGTAGTGGTATAGATCGCAGTGCATTGTCCATGTACACTATAGTTGTAATTTTCATTTCCTTAACACTTTGATTTAATTTTTAATTTGGGCTCCCTTTCCACCAGATGATAGAAACCATCCTGAGCAATTTGGTGATTCCCCAGAACATCCACGGTTCCTCTGGAGTTGTGCCCAAGTCCACCATCCTCATTGTTCCTGCCCTCCGTTCCCTCCACTCTGCCTTGACTAGCCTCTGCCACCAGCTTGGGAAATCCTTTCCTAGCCAGAGGGCGGTAGGCTGGGGTGGGGAAGCCCTGTGCTTCCTTGCAGTCGTTTATGTGTGTTGCCTGTGCACTAGTCCTGTTCAGACTGTCCTGAACCAGAGGAGACGCCACTTATCTCTGCCTTCAGCTGCTGTATCCCTTCCTGGCACAAGGATCACAGAACTGTGGACTAACTGAATGGGGAGAGGGTTCAAGGGTAAAATGAAATACCAGGGATAAAAGCATAGATTGATACTTCAAAGGGCGTCATTCCACCATTCCAAGTAAATAAAAGATTTAAAAAATTACTCACAGTAAAGTGTCAATGGGGGCGGCCAGTTAGCTCAGTTGGTTGGAGCGCAGTGCTCATACCACCAAGGTTGCCGGCTCGATCCCCACGTGGGCCATTGGGCTGCACCCTCCACAACTAGATTGAAACAAATACTAGACTTGGAGCTGATGGGTCCTGATAAAACACACTGTTCCCCTATTTCCAAAAAAAATTTATTTTTAAGTGTCAATGGGTCATGATAATATTTTACCAAAAGTCATACTCTTAAAATAAAAAGAATGAGAGCGTAATGGCAGAACTTGACTCATCAGTTGTTGTGAAGGGGTTTGGTGGGAAGACAGGAGAGGAGCCTCTTTTCTTTCCTAAATCTGGCCACGTGCTGGTCTGCCACTCTGTAGGACAGGCCCCGTGTCTTCCTGACGTCCCCCACTTACCCTACTTACACTTTGTTCTATGCCTGGGTTCCCATTTGTCCTTTTTTTTTTTAATTGGGGAATTGGGGAAGGGGACCTTTGTGTTTTTTCCTGTGTTTTTTCCAGGACCCATCAGCTCCACATCAAGTTGTTGTCCTTCAATCTTAGTTGTGGAGGGCGCAAGCTCAGCTCCAAGTCCAGTTGCCACTTTCAAATCTAGTTGTGGCGGTGGGGGGGAGGTGCAGTCCACCATCCCATGTGGGAGTCGAACTGGCAATCTTGTTGCACACGGAGTCATCTGGCTGCCCATCAGCAGCTCGCGGCAGCTCAGCTCAGGCGCAGCTCACTGGCCCATGTGGAAATTGAACCGGTGACCCTGTTGCTCAGGGCTCATGCTCAAACCAACTGAGCCACTTGGCCGGCCCTGTCCACATGTTTAATATCCTCTTATTTTCCCCCTATGAACAGCTAAGCCATGTTATTTCCTTTTAAAGGTAAGCTGTCCACATGGTGGCAAAGATGAAATCTTGTGTGCATACCTGATTCCCTGAAGAAATGTTTTTCATTTTCCTGGATACTTCCAAGCCATTCCTTTGTTCCAATGTTAACTTTGTCCAATGGTTCTCAAAGTGTGGTCCCCAGACCAGCAGCATTTAGCATCATCTTAGAACTTCTCAGAAAAGCAAATTCTCAACCCTGACTTCACACTTGCTGAATTAGCAATCCGTGTGGGGTTTTTTTCCCAGTTTTTTGGAGATATAATTGACATGTATCACTGTATAAGTTTAAGGTGTGCAGCATGGTGGTTTAACTTTATATATTGTAAAGTGATTACCACAGTGGGTTTAGTTAACATCCATCATTTCACATAGATACAATAAAAAGAAAAAAAAATTCTCCTTTGATGAAAACTTAGGATCTACTCTCTTGACATCTTTCTTATATATTGTACAGCAGTGTTAACTCTAGTCATCAAGTTGTACATTATATCCCAATTACTTATCTTATAACTGGAAGTTTATATCTTTTGATCACTTTCCTCCAATTCCTCTTCCCCTCACCCCTGCCTCTGGTAATCACAAATCTGGGCTCTTTTTCTGAGAGTTTGGTGTGGGTTTTTGTGTTTAAGATTCCACATATAAGTGAGATCATACAGTATTTGTCTTTCTCTGTCTGACTTATCTCAGTTACCATAATATCCCCAAGGTTCATCCATACTCTTGCAAATGGTAGATTTCCTCATTTTTTTCACGGCTGAATAATATTCTATTGTATATACCACAATTTCTTTACCCATTCATCTATCCATGGACAGTTAGGTGGCTTCCATGTCTTAGCTATTGTAAATAATGCTGCTATGAACATGGGGGTGTAGATATCTTTCTGAGTTAATGTTTTCATTTCCTTTGGATGTATTCTCAGAAGTGGAATTGCTGGAGCATATGGTAGTTCTATTTTTAATTTTTCGAGGAACCTCCATATCCTTTACCAACGTGGCTGCACATTTTACATTCCCACCAACAGTCCACAAGGGTTTCCTTTTTTCTACATTCATGCCAGTATTAATCTTTTGCCTTTTTGACGATGNTAGTAAACTAAACTTTCATGCTTTGAAGAGAGATTTTTACCATCTTAAATTATTGACCACGTTTGACTTACACATAAGAAATGAATACTTGTGGAATCCAAAGAACTTTACCTTAATTACAGCTGATGGCCTATAATCTAAGTACCTATCTCTTGAATAAAAGGAACAATGATGTCTATCAAAAAGTAAATCAAGTCACTCCTAAATGCAGTTTTTACCTGTTCTAGGACATGTGTATTGAGCATGTGTTACTCTTCTCCAGTGGTTGCCTGAGGTTTATTACTGTTACAGGGTGACCTTCACTCAGGTATACGATGAAGATGAGTTCCCCTCTCCCACACCCCCTGCTTTCCAGCTGGGAGTTTAGGTAATTCTGACTTTGCCATTCAGCACGTTCCTTCCTCATGGCTGCAGAAATTGGTTTAGGGGTCGGCACATGACCTAGCCTAGTCCAGGAAGGGTGATTCTCAGGGCTTTTTCTGGGAGTCCTTTAATACTCTCTTGATGAACATAATAAAGGAACATGTAGACCCAAGAGCTGCTTGGCAGTTATCTTGAGACCATAAGGAGAGCTGACATATTGGAGAGCAATGCAGAGTGATAGGAAGAAACTAAGACACCAAACTACTGGATCAGGCCTTGCCTGAAGTTATCCCTACCATGGACTTTTCAGGATATAAGCCAATTAAT